AAAACACATAAGTAAATTGTAATGTAGCATGATCTGAAATGTCTCTTAACACAGTGTTATAGTTTGACTTACTCCATCCTCAGATCTTCCTGGTGTGTCCATAGCTTGCTGATTGAACTTCTGCACATTGTATAGCTCCATTATTCGGTCGAAATTTTCTCCCCACCATCTTTGAGCTTGAAACTTATCGAACATTTCCCGGCTTCAAAAACCCCCCACGTCAAGTTAGCCACTTATATTCATGTAAAGGAAAAATGCAGTTTCAGTCTTGTTGGTTTAACGCCATATATATTTTAGTCTCAAAGTTTCAACTTTTCGCCTTTTGGTCATGTGATTTAATATTTTGTTGCAATTTCAGTCCTCAAATGACTGAAATTGCAATAAAATTTTAAATTATAAGACTTAAATTGCTAATTATAAATCTATAAATTTAGGAATTTGTTGCAAGTTCAATCCTTTATGTTGTTGTTGTGATCTCTAGCCCTACCCCAAGTTGCTTGGTACTAAAAGGCTATGTTGTTGTTGTTGTTGCTGCAAGTTCAATTCTTGGAGGACTGAAGTTGCAGCAAAATATTAAATCACGGGACAAAAGACGAAACATTAGAATCTTGGAACTAAAATTGTTAAAACCAGCATGACTAAAAATGCAATTTAGCCAAAAATAAACGTCGCTCAAAACCTCTTGTGAAAAACTTACCTAAAACGTATTCGTTTGAGGTCATTTCCTCCGCGTGGTAAGGACACAAACGTAATTTGCACGCCGGGCTCGACTTGGGCCATCCACTCTCTCGGCTCGTCCTCATCTTCTAACGTGACGTCCCCAAACTGCGAAGACGACACGCTGAATCTCGGGACTGTTCTATGATAATGGTGGCTCGTGCGCTTGAAATCCCAAGCTGGGGTCGAGCTCGAGCTTCCCGGTTCGTATGGAACTCCCTCGGAAATCGTGTCGAATTCGCGGTATTGTTTTTGGGCCGTTCGGAAGTTGGGACCTGTTTGGCTCGGTTTATTGTACTTCGATGACGATGACGATCCTGAGACCTTTAGTGCCATGTCTTTGATCTGAATTCATGTGTACACAAATGTGTTACTTAGGATTAATGTGTGAAATTGGAGCTTATAGAGGTAAAATGCAACTAAACTTCATAAACATTCATAATCTGCAGTTTTATATGATCATAATACACAGAACTGCAAATTATAAATGTTCATGAAGTTCAGGTTGCATCTTACCGAGAAAAAATATTATAGGTTGTAAAGTCTAAAAACATGTTTAATTATTTGGTTGTTAAATTGTATGAATCATACCAAAATATGTGGTCAATAACAAAACAGCAAATCCATCACCTATTTTCACACACTTCTGAACAGCAAATAGAGAGATGCCTTTGACTCTAGACCCCCTTACAATTAAGCAATTTGCAGTCTGGGGCAAGTTTTTATTGTCTTGAGATCTTACAAAAATAAATTGTCTAATAAAGCAAATTAAATGTGTTCCCAAATGGGTTTTCCAATTGAAATTTGTGCACCCCACAAACTTTAATTGCATTAAAAAAAGAGGCTGCAAATGGTTGTTACTTGTTACAGGCTCACAGACCTCTGCAATGGGCTGTCAAACTTTAATTATTTTGTAAGTGTTACTTATTTACTATTTTACCACCCTTTTATCTCCTCCACTTTCTTTTTGCAAGGGAAACTAAAGGAATAAAAAAAAGGAACACAAATTTTTTTACGAATAATGCATATTTGTCGAAAAAGTATAATTACCTAACCGTCTGAAAAATAGAGGGATTTATTTAAAACAAGAAAGCCAAGAAATAAAAAGAGAAGAAAGTTGTTAAACTATCATCACTTGCAACAGACATTTTCATATCTTTATATCAAGCTAAGTAAAGTGAAGTGCATCACATTTTGGGACAGGAATTCAAAGGTGGACCATTTCTTAGGACTGAGTATTGTATATCTCATTCAATGTTTTATCTTTTTCTAAAGATCTCCACAATAAGAAAAATTCAAATGATTTATATTTTTTTTTTTTTTCACATTTTGGTCTTTTAGAAGTTCACACTATGTACTTATGATCAAAACAATCTTTTTCTCCATGCTTGTTTAATGGTTTACAAATAGTTTCTTTCTTTTTTCACAATTTGAAAAAAAAAAAATGATAGAATTTCTCTATGAAATTACAAATTACACACACGATCCAAGAAAGGAGATTTCCCTTTACATGCTACATTATAAAAATGTAGTTGAAACCACTGTTCTAAAAATCGGCCTAGGCGGCGCCTAGGCGCTAGGCGGTGCCCGGGCGCCTCCGATTTGTACAAATCGGCAGAAAAAATCGGCCAGGCGGCCTTGGCGGGCTCGGCGGCCAGGCGGTTAGGCGGCTTCTAGGCGGGCGTAGGCGGACTTAGGCGCTCCTAGGCGGGCACGGCGGTAATTTTTCAAATTTTTTTTTAATTTTTTTTTTTCAATACTAATTACATTATTTTGTTCTCATGTTTTCTTTAATATATATTAATATTATTATTTGGACTTTGGTGTGTAAATTTATTATATGTTGAGATAATTTTATTTTGTAGGTAGTTAAAATAAATAAAAAATAAGGTATTTACTATTGATTTCTGGGCCCCGACTAGGCGCTCTAGGCGCTAGGCACTGGTCGAGCGCCTAGCGGGCGCCTAGCGACTTTTAGAACACTGGTTGAAACACAAACTAAATGAATGCTAGGAGACATACTTTTATTTTCATACACACAAGTATAATGCACTCTAATTGCTTCTAATTGGTTGTTTTATTTTAACTTCTACTTATTTCATTCATAGTGACACACATAAGCATTATGGTGTATTTATTTTAGCCTACATGCTAAAATTTGTGAAGATCCTGCATATGATACAAAAATAGACACACCAACAATAATGTACACTATGTTTTAAATTGTACTGTATGTATCCTAGTCAAAATATTATTAATTTAGATGTATTTTAAAAAAAAAAAAAATGATTCCCAAATTTAGACTGCTCAAAAAATAGTCGAATAATAAATAATGGTGGTCAGATCAGTAGAAATATCTAATAAAATGGCCTATTCAAGCGGGGTAATTTTAGGATTGACTTAGTCAAATTTGAGTAGATTACTATATAATCGGTTCGAAAAACCTAACCCGACTAAGCCAAAGCACAAAAACAGTGACGATATTTACATAAAAGGAAAAATTATAAAAACAATGTTTTCTTGTTAAACTGGTGTGATCATTAAATGTCCACATACCATTTTTATCAATTTATATATTTTTGTTAGAAAAATATCATCCTTCAATAAATTATGTTAAAAAATAGTATAACATTATGTTTTTCGAAATTCGCCACTGTTATTTGTGACAAAATAATTTGTGT